TTAGGATTATTGGTGGATTGTGGAGCTGGGGGATCATTAGGATTATTTGTGGATTGTGGAGCTGGGGGATCATTAGGACATGGGCTTTCCTGAGCAGAGACTGTAAGGATGGAAAGCATCACATGTGTTGATGATAAAACAGTGCTACTCTCTTTTCTCCCCATACACAGGTTAAAAGACAACATAAAGATATTGTCTGAGTTTCAAGTCAACTTGTAATTTGCTTTTGGTAGTTTTGGAGTTGTAAGCTGTTGCTGAAAGCACTGGGTGGCTGCTGCATCCTGATGATAATTATTGCTTTGTTTGTGAGGTGATGCTTTCCTGGGAGGGAGTAGCATCAAGGGGGAAGCTTAGGATAATTATATTTGTCCCCTTGAAAGTTAGTTAACAAGCTACTGTTTACTGATATGATGTAGGTGCTATAATATGGTAGTTGGCTGTTAGGGGCAAGGAATTTTAACAGTGGTATGGAGTAAAAAAAGGTTGGAAACTTGTGTAGGGATGGAAACTAACATTGAACAAGATCATTCCTCTTGAGAATTAACCTGCTGGGGATTATCCATCCTACAGATAGGGAATAATTTTGTTTTATCTAGTGTTCATAGCTCTGTATCTCCATATATATATACACCAAGAACTTTAATTGGCTTGGATCTGACTTCATTATAATTTCACTTTTGAAGGTGTTAGACCATGATCTGTGGGCTATTCCTAGCATATTACTTTTGAGACATTAGTAAATTCTGATGGGTAGCTTTTTTCTTTTTGAAGTTAAAAAAATAAATTATTAAGGCAATAACCAAAGTCAAAGGTGCCAAAACTGAAGAAAAGGTTATTGCAAAATCAGTATTGGGATTAATCTTGAAAATTCTTTCAAATATTTAATAACTTCTATTATAGTTTAGGTTTTGTACATTACCTTTTGTACCATGACCTTATCTTCCTATTTGGTCTTTTTATTATACTCTGGGTGTTCTTATTTTCTATTCCACAAAAGCATACCATTTATTGCTTACTTTTATCAGGAGCACATGTCTGTTCTCCATCATGTCTTTTTTTAAAAACTTTTGCAAAGTGCTGAATTACTTTATCCTAAAAAAAAAGTAAAAGTGCTGGAATAGTGGTAAGTGCTTGTTCCATGAAATTCTCTCTCTCAGTCAATACAATGAAATTTATCACTTTGTTTTTCAGTTTAGTCAACTGGTATCCAGTGATTTGAAAGTACTTGGAAGGAGCTCTTACACCCTCTGCAGCGATGGCCAGTTACTCATTCGACAAGTCCTCCACCCAGAAACATCCAAAAAGGTACGAGGGCAGAACTGGTGCAGAAAGGCAGCACTGTGCTTTAAGGACATCAAAGAAAACAGCTTGTGTGAGTTTGAGGGGAGCCACTCAATTCAACCTTGGCAACTACAGTGTTTTAGGGCTATTTAAGGTGGTTCCTTCCCAGTCTCAAGGGAGTAGCAAAGTAGTTATTGTTGGCACTTGCTCTTGAGAGTCAGTTACAGTACCTGGACTCCCAGATGAGCATAATGGAGAGGAAAATTAGGAATGACAGGATAGAGACAGTGACAGTACAAGTACTTTAAATTCTGTGTCTCAAGGAGTGGAAACAAAGTCCTGATCTAATCTCAGCAGAAGGGATGGAGAATTATTGCTTTGGTTAGGCCTGTGTAAAGCACAGGTTGTGTGCAGAGCCCTGGGTTTCTCCAGGCTCTGAAATCAGTGGAGCCCCGTGGCAGTGCCCTGTGCAGGGGAACATGCAGGCAGTCCCTGCCCTGAGAATGGCACTGCTTCTCCAGCATCATTTATTCAGCAGGAGGCAGAGCTACAGCTCTTGCCTTTGTGGGAGGTGGTGGGTCTTGAGTTTGCCTGTTTGCCAGCCTGCAGGAACCCCCCAGGAATCCCCCCAGGGAGGAAAGCTGCTGACATGGAAGGAGTTGACCAGTTGTAGGGTTTTCTTCTCTATATAGGAGTATTGGCTCATGCCAAGTTTCTACAAGTATTAGTTTGGTGTTTGTGTTGTATTAAAACTTAACACTGACTTTTTATGGAAAGCACATGTTTCTGTAGGGATGAGGTAAGTAAGGAAACAGGAATTATATTTGTCATTCAAACACACTGGTATTTTTTTTGTGGGGGTAATTCTTTGTACTTCCTTCTTGAAACAAATGGACAAAACTAAAACAAACTGTGATGTTGTGGAAGAAATAATTCTCCACACCAGATCAAGGAATGCATCTGGTGTGGACAAATGATGTCAATCTGGTATCAAATGTTGAGTCTCTTAGTACTGCATTTCTTTCTCTTAGTTCTTTTTTTTCTCTTCTCCTTCAATACTTTTTAATTTGCAATAGTTTTTCTCTCTGCACATTGTTAGTAAGCCTCAGACCTTAGCTCTCGCTGTTCCTACTATTCTAAAAAGCATTACCTTGTGACTTTTCTTAATTCGTTATTTACAAAGGTGGGTGCTGTTTGACTAGACCAAAGTTACACTTTTATTTGGTAAAGCAGTTGGAGAGTGAGGGAGAAAGTAGAGAGTTAGACCAAGTTATTTTTTTTATTCTTTGAGAAAATAAGCTAATGCCTGAGTAAAGGGCTACTTAAACATTTGTTTAATAGTGTTATATAATTAAAGTTTTTACCCAATACACAACAGTGATGAATAAATAACTTGAAGTTGCTGAAATATATTTTGTGTACTGTAAAAATAGTTATTTTAACTTTGTCATCATGTTTGGGTACAATTCAGCTTCTTAGTGTAGCTGCAAAAGAGAAAATAGTGTCCTAAATGGGAATATTAAACAGCAAAACCTAGATATTTTTAAAATATTTTTTCCAGCCATCTTCTCCAGCTGTTTTGCACAGGTCTGCCTCCCAGCAGCTATTCGGATTTGCTCACCTAGAGATCCAGTTGTGTACAGCTGTGGGGTTTGAACTGTGTTACAAAGGAACCAAACTGCTCAATCACAGACAAGCTGGTGACATGCAACTATATGGTTTTTGAGATTGCTTCATTCAGTCTGGAAATATGAATGGAAGTGTACAGGAAAAGTGTGTACAAAACAACCCTTTTGCCTTGTTTGCAGAACCTGCCCCTGTCAGACTGTTTCTATTCCTTCTACGACCTGCGCAAAGAATTCCGCACCTGCTACCCCAGCGCAGCCTCGGGGAAGGACCAGACCATCAGGAGCATGGCAGAATGTATCCTTTGGCTGCAGCTTCCAGCTCACAATCAGTTATGCTTCCTCACATTTTATATCTGTGATAATTACAGGTTTTATTCTTCTAAACTAAGATGTGGGTTTTAAAAACTCCCAGGTGAAGTGAAAGGAATGTGAAAGCAGCATGTGTTGGGGGAGCTCTGCTTGTAATTTTTTTCCTCCAGTTTGAGTCTAACACTGATTTCTAAACCATATTTAGTAACTTGCATTGATACTTGATCTTAAAGGAAAAGCTGTGCTGTCAGTGGCCTTTTCAGCACCAGATGACCTACAAGTTTCTACTGATTGCACATAACAGTACTTCTTTTGCATGATCTTGACTGAACTGAGTTCAAAACAAAACCAAAACCCAAACAATACTCTACATCTAAATTCAAATTAGGAGGATTCCTGTGGGCCCCCTGAATGTGATTGAAGTTATTATGTTTTAAGTGACAGGAACTTATTCAGCTATTTTTTTTTTCAAACTGTAAACACTGAAATTATGTAAGCTCTTAATAGTTTTCAGACTGTTAATCATTAAAGTGAATATTAACCAGTTTATGACCAGAGTAACATGTCTAATGTTCACATGTCCCTGCTAAGACAAGCAAATTTGATTACCAGTTCTGTGTTAATATCAGGAAAGCCTTATTACTTGTTTCCAAACAGTTGTGCAAGTCTGTTATTTTCTATAATCACCTGTTTAGATCTAGGCTTAGGGACAGATGAAGCAGAGGAGGACTTTGGCGTGTGGCAAGTGAAAACCATGGTGGCCATCATTTTCAGCATGCTCTCTGAAGGTTGTAGTAAGTGAACTATTTATAAGGAAAGAAATCTTTCTTTTCTGAAAGAATTGAGAGTGTCATTCTTAAGTAATCTCTGACCCTGGTCATATATAAACTTTGTTTTGTTGCAGATCACGTATTTACTGAACCTGAAACTGTGAAATACAAGTATGAAACAGGCCCTTGGTAAGTGTCACAGTTGTTTACAAGCAGAGGTGGGTCTTGCCTGCAGTAAGGAAGGCTTGTGAATATTTCCCTGTAGTCACTGTGAAAGCAGGTTGGCTCCTGAGAGCAGTAACCACGTCCTCAGCAATCAGTCTGGTGTGGACAGACAGAGCTGGCACGTTGGATGCTGTACTTTAACCTCTCTGAAGTCACTGCAAGTTAAATGCTCTTTGTTCTCTTGCTGCTGGTTTGCATGGCAGTGAGGCTGGCTTATCTTACCCACTGGTGAGGAAATATTTGTGAACTTTCCCTGAGTCAACAGGGTAATGGCCAGTGCACCCTATAGGCACCTGAGCTGTGTGCTGCTCCTGAAAGTCTTGTATCTGTGCTGTGTGCTGGGGTTAGGGAGAGAAGAAACAGGATGTTCTGTGTTTTCAAATATATTGCAGTGACTGGAGAATGAAGCATTTTAGGCATAAGTAATTTGTACTGATATTTAGGACTGCCCTGTATTCATCGATCTCGGATTGTTAGATTTTTCAAAAAAAATGAGTCCAGTTCCTTATTACTTTAATTTTAAGCCAGTTTTCCTATTTTATTTCATTTAAGGAACTGCAATGTGGTGACAAGATAGTGCATCTCTTCAGTGTTGTGTATATATAAAAGAATAATCTCAGCTATCTTTCCTTTCTTTGAAATGAAAAATAGAAATAGAAGAGCCTCAACAGGAAATATACTCCCAATTTACAGTTAAATCAGTTGCAATCCAAAATTTGATAAGATCATGGAAAACCTAGATTCAAGCTTACTTTGGTTTCTTTTTTTTTTTTCTGTGTAGTAGTAAATCTGAAACTGTGGACAGTGAGACAGTAATACGTGCCAGAGGTTTGCCATGGCAGTCTTCAGACCAAGATATTGCTCGATTCTTCAAAGGACTCAATATTGCCAAGTAAGATAAGAATTTGCCTTGCTTTTTGTCTAATAGCAAGTTCCTTCAATATTTGTTTGACACATCCCCCACACTTCCCACTAGAGTCCTCACTTCCACTTGTCTTTCCCATGTGGCCCCTTCCCGTGCTGTGGTCGTGATAAGTGAACAGGTTTACCAGCCTTAAGTGTGTGAGAAAGAGTTTTGAAAGAGACTTATCAATTGAAAGCCAACATATGTTCATTTATTGCTGGGATCTAAAGGGAGAAACTCCTATTGCATTAATCAAAGCAGAGTCCAGAGTACAACAGAAACTTTAATTTTGTGCCAGCTCTTCAGTGTTCTGCTGCACCTCCTAAACAGGCCAGACTCACAAACCTCCCTGTTTGGAAGAAATTTTCATGTGACTCGTGTGTACACCTCTGTATAGATGTATGTGTGTATACATATATATATGGAGAGAGAAAGTAAATTTAGTTTAGCATATCTGTCACTTAGTATATATTCTGGATTCTCAACACTGAGAAAATACAGTTCTTTATTTAGAGTTCTGAGGAAATCAAAATCTGCATCTCTGAGGTGATAGGAAGGGCTTGCAAACCTACATTTTCATGGAAACTGAGAAAGTGGTGCAACCTGAGACCCATGATCTCAGTGGAGTGGATTTTAAAGTATAATTGTGTTACATCAAAAATGAAATTAAGTTGTGGATAGTAGCAATTTCTTTTTCAATCTGTAACCTTCATGTAAAGTCTGATTTCTTTACTATTCTTACACAATTATTTGTATTAGTGTATTATCTGTATTAAAGAGTCAAACTAAGTTCATTTTTGTTGGTTTTGCCTTCCAGAGGTGGTGTGGCTCTTTGTCTGAATTCTCAAGGAAGAAGAAATGGGGAGGCCTTGGTTCGGTTTGTCAATTCTGAACAGAGAGACCTTGCACTGGAAAGGCACAAGCATCACATGGGCAGCAGATATATTGAGGTAACAAGTTGTGACTTGAAATAAAACTTTGGAGGGCAACATGAATGTTTTAGACCACGGTTTTTGATGAGAACAAACTGCCCTTCTGTTTTGCTCAAAGTACCAAAATAAAATTCTCTGGCTTGTGAAAGAGTTTGTGTGTGGTTTAGAGTTGAACGTTGTGATTTTCATGTAGGGTTTTTTTGTTATTTTCTCTTTAAGGTTTACAAAGCAACTGGGGAGGAATTCTTAAAAATTGCAGGAGGTAAGTGATACTGGAGTTCAGTGCCATTACTTACGTCCATAGGAATGTTGTTCTAGTTCTGATATTTTTTCTTGTCTGAGGATGCAAATGGATAATGAAGTAGCTTTTCCTGGTTTGCCTTACAAGAATACTTGACCCTGTCAAGTTCTGTTTTCATGTGGTTGAAAGTGAGCTGTCAGCATTTGGGCTGTGATGTTCACAGGCAGGTCTGGCTGTTTGGGAGGAAGATGAGCTCTTGCAGTGGAGGCACCTGTGTGGATTTGTATAAGTTCACTCTAATCTCATCTTTGTTCCAATTTCATTAAAACATAAAACACTTGCAGGGTAGGGGATTTTCCCTTCAGAATAGATTGCTGGGAGTTAGTAGTGCCTCAGGTTTTCTGTGGGTTTGTTGCTCTCTGCTCCCCTCCTGTATTTTTCCTTCCTGCTTTGCCACTGCTCTGTCTCAGGGCAGTGACCAGCATGACCATGTGCTGTTCTCTGCCCACCAGGCACCTCCAACGAAGTGGCCCAGTTCTTATCCAAGGAGAACCAAGTTATCATCCGGATGAGAGGCCTCCCATTCACTGCCACACAGGAGGATGTGCTGGGGTTCCTGGGGCCGGAGTGCCCAGTCACAGGAGGGAAAGAGGGACTTCTCTTTGTCAAGTACCCAGATGGCAGGCCCACAGGAGATGCATTCGTGTTATTTTCCTGTGAAGAATATGCACAGAGTGCACTTAAAAAGCACAAAGAAATACTTGGAAAACGTTACATAGAACTCTTCAGGAGCACAGCAGCAGAAGTCCAACAGGTTGTAACTATTGGCTGTGAGACTCAAAACTAAGAAGAATCCCTTTTGACAAAACTAAAGCTGTAGCCTCTTTTTTGGTACCTCCTTCAGTAGAGTGTGTTTATTTGTGGTAATCATCACTGAAAGTGTTTTTCAGCAGTAAGCCCTAACACATCATATTTTCACTTTGTCATTTGGGAATGAGTCAACAGGACATGCTGAGATAGAAGTCTCTTACAGTTCTTATTTATTTGTTTGTTTTCTTCAGAAGCTCTGTACTTGGAGATGAGCACTCAAGTTAAAAAAGCAAACACTCTCACTTAACCAGTCAGGTTTTATGGATAAATTAGAGCTCGTATTTTTACTTATTGGTTATTTCAGGTCTCAGTTCTTTTAAAATGACTTGTTTTAATTAACCCTAACTTAACTAAGAACTGTATGTGACATGCTGGTTTATTAGCACGAATGTGGTTTCAGATATTATAAAATGAACTGTAATTGGCTTTTAACCTTTTTTATATTGAGATTAGAAAAGTCTGTTATTAGGGTCTAGCAAATTGAATTTGTTAGCCTTTCCCTCTCCCTTTCTGAGTTTGAAGCTTTCAAATGCCCAACAGGAAACAAACAGCAGGAATTTGGTTTAAGGGTTTTTTCCATGCTGTTGGAAATAGTACTGCGAGAATCGGTCTGTGCTCAGGCAGATGATGTGTAAATCTGTCGCTGTGCTTTTCCCCCAACAGGTACTCAATCGATACATGTCAACACCTCTCATCCCAACCCTGCCAGCTCCCATCATCCCAGTCATCCCCCCACCCTACACCATCGCCACGGGCAGTGTCCGCGACTGCGTCCGGCTCCGAGGGCTCCCCTACACCGCGGGCATCGATGACATCCTGGAATTCATGGGAGATGCCACCGGGGACATCAAGCCCCATGGAGTTCACATGGTCCTTAATCAACAGGTAACAGCACTTGACATGGGAGGATTGACTTACCAGTGTCTGAACGGAGTGGGAAGTCAGGGCAGCTTAGCTGATCTTGGCTGTGCTTCAGTCTTCTCTAACTTGGGGAAAATACAGTGTTCTCTTTGTCTCTTTTCCTCATTTCTCTTCCCCTTTTACACACAGACTTGCTTTTCTTTCTCTGTATGTGTGTATGCATCAGTCTGGGGAGGATGAAGCCTGTTATAATGATAACCTTACCCTGGAGGCTGTTGAAATGGTTCTTGTGTTTCAGTGAGGTGCTGGAGATATACAAGAGAGAAATGTCTTTTATTAGATGGCATAGCTGCTCTGTCTGCCTCAGGGTTCCTGCTGTGTTGTTTGACTGGTATTTGTGTCCAATTTAGGTTTTCCTAACTTATAATTTGACTAGAGATTTCTCAGGCTTTAAAGGAAGTTGATAATTAAAAATTGTGTTTTGAGTATATTTTAATGACATGATCACAGGGATATATTTTCCCTGTTGCCTTGTGTTAAAAATAAACTCTTAGAAATACTGAGGTATTAAAGAAAACAAATGAAACAGGTTGACTATACTTGCTTTGATTTTTTTTTTTTTTTTTTGTTAAGGAAATTTTTAGTATTTTGTATACAACTATGTCTGTCAGATTGCAGAAAATCAGTCCTGGAAATCAATTTCTGATGTAGCTATGGACTTTGCTAAAGGATCTGGAGCTTTATACTGTTGTTCCTAAAAAGTAGTTTCAGGGAAGGCAAAGCCAGACTCTTCCTAGAGCTTCACAGCAAAAGAATAAGGGACAGTGTTTATAAACTGCATCATGAAAAATCCCATTTAGGTGAAAAGGAAAAAACAAAATCACAAAGAGAAATTAGCTAAGCACCCAAACAGGCTCCCAGAGATGGTGTGGAATCTCCACCCCTGGAGATCCTCAGATATCAAGTGGAGAAGGCAATGAGTGACCTGATATAACCTGAGGGTTTGTCATGCTTTGAGCAGCCTTTGGATTAGAGACCTCCAAACTTTTTTTATGCTTCATGATTCTCTGTTTTTTTCTGCAGAAGACTGAAGTGTTGTGTTAACTGGGAACTGCTTGCATGTGTCTCGATTTTTCTGCTCCCATAAATAATTGTTGGGTCAATAGTCATTAGTGCCAGAGGAGGAAGAGCAATACAGACTTTGGGTAGATGTTTGATCTTAGTCCTTTCTGCATTCTTGTGGTCTGGGTGTTTTAACAACAGACTGACTTACAATTATTTCCCTGCCTCCCCCTAGGGACGACCATCAGGTGATGCTTTTATCCAGATGAAATCTGCTGACAAAGCCTTTATGGTGGCTCAAAAATGTCACAAAAAAATGATGAAGGACCGTTATGTGGAAGTATTCCAGTGTTCAGGAGAGGAGATGAACTTTGTTTTAATGGGTGGCACTTTAAATCGTAGTGGCTTGTCCCCACCGCCATGTAAGTTACCATGTAAGTCTCCAATTCTGCTGCTCTCTGCTGCTAAAGGCTGACATGTGGTAGGTGCTGAAGCTTGTGGCCTTTCACCTTTTGACTTGGGTTTTGCCATGATCAATATACATGCTGAGATTGGAATTGTTCCCTTTGGGCAATAATGGGACTGATCAGAGGCGTTTTTATTGTATTTTCGGTGATGAGTAGAGGGCAGCAAGGCCTTGCCAGTGAAATTGTTGCACACTTTGCTTTTGATGGGTGGACTGTTCTTCTGAGCTCTGCAGTAGACTTGCCTGTAGTGAAACCTACTTGGAATTAGGGGATTTTTAAAATAGGGAGAAGTTCTATATTCCAGCTGCCGATGAGTGCTCTTGCTATCTTGCCTTAGAGCATTGAGAAGGTACTCTTTGGGCTTATTTTTGCAGGAAAACACCCATTGGGTCGATATACTAACAGACTATAGAGTGGTGAAGTTTTATTTTAAAATTACAATGAACCTTATTGAGGAATTAAAATGGACCTTTACTGTACTGTTCTAATTAGTGTCACTACCAAATCATAAAGCAGATACTGATGTGTATTTGCAAAAGAGTAAAAAGCTGCCAAATATAGTATATAAAAACAATCTGACAGCACACCAAGCTAAGCTTAATATTCCTGTACAAATTAGGTAATTGTTCATCAAAATGCATCAGACTAGTGATCTAGTGGGTTATTCTCTTTTCCATTTGATATATCCTAAAAATACTTTTTGAAGCCACAGGAAGCTTATCCATGAAGACTCATGGTCAGCAGTTATGGATGCCCATGTGTAGCTCCTATTATGATACTTTTGTCCCACAGAGTACAACTTCTGTTAGAAAAAATGAGGGTGTGTTGGTGTGCACGCCTGCTTTCTCTATGCACATGGCTTTATGCTTTCTTTGAATAACTCTCAAGTTCCCTACTTTCCATTTACATGTGGACAAGGCTTCTCAGCTCTAGCAGTTGTGAACTTTCAGGAATTACTCATTCCAAAGTTCCAGTTGTCATTCATGGTGACACAGCAAGGGTCTCCAGGGGAGAGGTTAGAGACAAGTCTTTGCTCAGGTGTTCATCTATCGTGCCCAGATGGTTTCAATCAATTTTAATCACACTGCTGTAGGAAAGGAATGATACATCCTAGAGACCTCCATTCTCATTGCTTTTTGCTGCTGTGTCCTGCTTTGGTTTTAGGTCTCTCTCCACCAGCTTATGCTGCTTTCCAGACAGCAGCTGTGATTCCAGCAGAGGCAGCACTGTACCAGCCACAAGCCCTCTTGCCAACCACCAGGACTCCCCAGGCCTCTGCAGCTGCTCCTCCAACTGTTACCTACTACCCAGCTCAGGCTGCTCAGCTTTATATGAATTACACAGCTTACTATCCCAGGTATCCCCAAGATGTAACTGCTTCTCTTGACCTTTCATCTCTGCAGCAGGCAACTGGGTGGTCACTTGTGAACAGCTTTAAATTTGTACTTCTGGGGTGGGTAGTCCTGGGAACTCGATGTTCAGTAGCAGAGGCAGTAACCATTTTAACTCATTCTCTGGGCCTTGCAGTGAAGTTCGTCTCTTCTGTAGGTTCTGTTGGAATCTCATGATACTGTTGGTCTAATATTTAACAGGGTTTTTTGGCACTGGGGCAATGTCATCAAGGCAGTTCTATTTCTTGGCCAGGAGAGAAGCTGTGTCAATAAATGCCTCTACACACTCATCTCTTAGTTTGTTCTTTTACTGTTTCCATACTGAAAGGCTCATCATAGGTGTGTACTAGTTTTGATTTCATGTGTCACTGAGACCAAAGAACACTTTTACATGTGAAAGCAAAGCAGATCTCCACCTTTTCCCTTCCCACAGATGGTATCAGCATGAGTCACTACAGTCTGGTGCTTGGGTCCATGGGGGAGTAGCTTGTTCATTGGTAGTTCCTAGGCTTGTGACACTTGTTAGCTTGAGTATGTGCTAACTTGCTAGATGAGTCCTGACCAGAGCTGGAGATGCTAACTCATCACTATTTTGTGGCTCAGAAATGCCAGATTTGGGCATTTGCCTGCTTTTCATATTATGACACACCCCTCTCCTTTTTTCTTTAGGAAATTATTAACTATTTTAAGTTTTCTGCAGCTATTTTTTGTTCTCCCCTGTGAAATAACAAGTGCCACTCCTTATGTCTTTAACTACAAATGTTAGCTCTTTTCCGTTCCCTCCTTTCTCTAAAAATAGATTATCAGATGCTGAAGAGAAATTAAGAGTCCACAGAGCAATCCACATCAGGGCTGTTTGATTTTCTGTGGCATTGGGGTTTACTTTCAGACTTAAATTTTCACATTCATCTTTGCCTATTCCAAGAACTAGAACTGGCTACTGGTTTTCATAACAATTTTGCTCCCTCTTTCTCTTTCAGCCCTCCAGTGTCTCCTACCACAGTGGGGTACATTGCAGCTCCCCCAGGAGCTGTAGCTGCTGCTGCCTCTGCCAGCCACACTCCGCTCCTGCCCCAGCCCGGGGCGCTGGTCCGGATGCAGGGCCTGCCCTACAACACAGGAATGAAGGAGATACTCAGCTTCTTCCAGGGCTACCAGGTTAGTTTGCAGTTCCTGTGCTTCCATTGCATTTGGACCTTCAAGTCTTGGTCAGTGGAGATCAGACAGAGCCAAGTGAGTGCTTTTGGAACCTGCCAAACAAGTGTGCAGGCTCCAGGTTTAACTGCCAGACCAAAGTGTAGCACACAGTTTGCCTTATTTCTTACATAATAAACATATCCTAATTAGAAAGCAGTGATTTAGTGTCTAGGTTTAGGGTTTGAGTTTGAAGAGCAAGAAAGTGCAGAACCCCATTGTGAGTGGGGCTGGGAAGGGGCTGCCAGAGGAAGGTGGGGAGCTGCCAAAAGCTTTCAGTCCTGACCACTTTTTGGTGGAAGCCTTAGGTAGGCCCAATGTTTGTCCTTCAAGACTGAAGTGTTAAAGTCTGCTGAGAGCAAATTTCTAGTACAGAGGGCTCTGAGCTGGCTGTGGTGACTTGCTTGCAAAAAGAGAAAGACAGATGCCTCTGTCAGACACTGTGTGCAAAGGTTTTGGATGTTTGTCCTTGAGCATTCTGTAAGTTGGGTAACAGTGACAGTGCTAAAGCGTAGGATGCAGGTGGATTCTTTTTAAGGCGTAGCAGCAGTTAATATGAAACACTCAGGCATGGTGTGTTTTCTTTTTTTATTTCTTTTTGTACCTTAAGATTCTTAAAGAACAATGAGCTTTAATTTGCAGAGCCAGACGTCTGCTATGTAAATGAATGTACACTGAGAACAGAGGCTTAAATGTGTATGTTCCAAGTTTTCAGTACTTGGAAGATGCAGTGCTCTGCCTGTTGTGTCTTCTTCAAATGGTACATTTGTTTAAAACAGTTTTACATACTGAGTTTTTCAGTGGAAAAATTTGAAGATTAGCAAATAAGAAGTGTGATAAATTTTGATGAAGATTAAAAAGAAACTAAATTTGTTGTGGTTTAGGGCTTTTTCTTCAACAGAAAAGAGTTCAAACCAAATTCAATTATTTGTGGCTTTCATGATTTCCACACAAACAGTAATAATAATTCATCTTGCTGTTTAGGCACTGATATTTTGCCTTGCAGTTTTTTTCAACTGAATGGGGTTTTTGGTGGATAGATGGTAGATGTATTATAACCTTAAGTGGGGAAGCCTATTTTTGAAACTGAAATTCAGCTAGAAGTAAGCAAGTGCACCTTTGAAAAATGTGGCCTGAACCCGTCTGTGCATGGAACAGGTCAGTGACCATCTTTAGTAGCTCTATTTCCCACTAAATCTTTAGTTTAGTGAATCTGGACTTTGTGTCTGGTGCTGTTTGCCCTTTTCCTTCTTTCTGCATTTGGAGAGCAGTTCATGGTGTTTGTGTTGCACAGTTCAAGGATTAGATGAATAGAAATTTTGCTACAAGGTGAAAACTATGTTCTGCTGCTGCAACCTCCTGTCATCATCAGTTACTGTTATTAAATTGGTCACCTCTTCAGATTCTTTAGAAGATGTTGTCCAAATGAGCTCGGGTTCAAAATCTTATAAAGAAGCCAAGGAATTCTTTTGAATTGTTCTTGGAACCCTGCGTGTGGTAATGCTAGTTTTGTACTCTCTCATTCCTTTAGGGGAAAAAGAGGTGGTGACTTACTGTAATGGGACAAAATTATGTCTCTGGAGCAATAACTAATCTTTTTTTTTTCTTTTTTTCCTCCCCTTTCCTCACATTATTTTTTCATTTTCTGCTGCTGCCCAAGGATTTATTACATCATTCTTCTGCTTGTTCATAAAGTGAGCCCCTAATAATCATCAGTGGTTTGGTGTGGTTTAATCTCTGTATAATTGATGTTGGTGTTCAATGGGCTTCAGTGTGGGTGCTCTGGGAACCAGATTGGAGATGCTGAGATTGAAGGGTGATTTTTGTCTTTCTGTGTCCTTCTCTGAGAGGAACAGGGTTTCAGTTTTAGTTCTTTCTTTATTCTCTTCTGGTTTTTTCCTTCAGTCTTCGTGGGCTCTATGTATTGCATGTGTGCACATGTTGCTACTTAAGTGAAAGCACCTTTCATACCAGACCTGCCTCTTCAGAGATAGACTTTGCTTATCATGGGCTTCAACAAGCTGGTCTCAACATCAGTACATGCTTCTAATAACAAATAATGTAAAAGTCTGCAGATCAGCATTTTAATTTTAATTTAATTTTATCAACATTAGCCTCTTGCTTAGTGTTTCAGCAGCTTGATTTGTTCTCATGGTTCTGCTTTCTTGTTTTTATTGCTGAAAATTCCTTCTATTTATTGTGACTTGGATTAAACAATCAAAAAACTTGTGAAAAATTTTAACAGTAAATCTTGGAGATGGTAATTTTCCCCATTACCTTTCTGTATATTATTGTAGTGTACTGTAGTCTTCAAAACAGCTAAGGTTAGTACTCTCTGATTCAGTAATACATCTTAAACTGCTTTTTAGTTGCACTGTAATGGAACAGGACCATTGATTTGAGTCTAGTTGTATACTGGATACATAGCTAAAGGATACCTAAAAAAACAACAACAAAATCCAAACCAACTAAAACTACATTGAAAAAACAACAAAACCCAAAATAACCAAAACAACAAAATCAGAGACTTCACTATGCAATTCATAGGACAGTGGGGTGACAGTAGTTGCTTTGACAAGTGCTAAAACACCTGCTAGAAGAAGTGGTGCAAAAATGTTAATTACGTGCAACAAGACTCCTGGGTGTTACTTTAGGCCATCACTCTGTAGAGCTGGAGAAGCAGTGAGAAACTCAAGTAAATAATGAAGGGACAGGGGTAGTAGTGCTCATGGGTTTATGCGAAGTTGGTGCGTATCAGAACAAACTTTTTCACTTAAATATCTTTATTTTTTCATATTTAGTGGCTAAATTCTCTATGGATTTTACTATTTAGCCACTGAACGAATCAATGAGAAACATTTCTAGTCTCCAAATACTGACTTTTGTTTGTTTTTCTGTGAGAATGCAGATACTGCCCCAGTTGGTATCGTGACAAGAACCGTCAGGTTAATGAGTAAGCAGAGGCAATTTAACTGTACCTCTGTCTTAGCTACCCAAAGCCAGTTCCCAGCTGTTGTCCTGGCTGGGATTCAGCATTTAAGAGGACTTGCCCAGTTTCTTGGAGGCTGGCATGAATGTGAATTCATGCCTGCCTGAAAAAGACCCTGTGGATTAGCTCTTAGAAAGCAGACTGCTATGTAGGTAAGTTGTAAGTATAGTAGTAAAAAAAATAAACTAGAAAATGACTAAGATTTAGGAACCATGGGCACAATCTGAACTTTATTTAAAGCCTCCTGAATTTGCTGAAAAAGACTAGAATGGAAATGTAGGGACTTTTGTGTACATTTTTTTAGGTAAGAGAAGCTTAAAATAGATACTGTTCTTTCAACCTGCACTGGGCTTTGGTGCCTTTTGTCTGCAGTTAAAAAGAGCTTTTGCAGTATATTAATCCTTCAGGTCTTCAGAGACCCAGAATTCAAGGCTTGTCAGTGGAGGGGAGGAGGGTGACTTGTGCTTAAAACAGTAATAAGGAAATGAAAGGAAGTGGGTGCATGGCTAAATTCCGAGGGCATTAGCAACATTTCTCTCTTGTGGCAGGACAGCTGATTTCTTTGTTACTGACTTTTTAGGGATTAGGTTTTTTCTCTGAAATGCATGCTTAAACAAAGAAGTATTCTCTGTTTCCTATGGCTTCCTTTTGAAATCTGACCCTTTGTAGTCTGAGAAGGACACCCCATCATCTGTATGCCAATCCTAGGGATAGCACATTTTGACTAGGGAAGGGAAAGGGGATGTCACAGAGGAAGAATTCCCACTTACTGGTATTTGAAGTCATCTGGCAATACAGGCACTGTTTTATGCTCACCCCCACGCTCTCAGAACAGAGCACACTGTTTGTTTGGCTTTAGTCCTAAATGTATCTTCCACCTGAAAGTGTTGCTGTGTGGAGAAACCACCTCTGAGACTGGGGCTGGTAAACCAGTGGGTCCAGTTTCTGTCTCTTGCCTCCCACACTGGAAGCAAAGCTGAAGTGGCAGCTTGAACAGGCATTACCTGGTCCAGGGACAGGCAGGGACAGACACACAAATCACTCTGGTGGGGTCTCTGACACACAAACCATTCCAGTGGGGTCTCTCTGGCACACAAACCATT